TAACATTCATCACATTCAACGAATCGCGGGCAGGCAGATCCCTTAGGTTTTGAGACGCGAGCGTTCTGCAGCGAAGAGGAAGCCCCTTGAAGCTTAACAGCGCCACCTTGGCGCTGCTTGTGTCATAGCCCGCCCAATCTATCGTGATCTAATTGCAGGTACTGAGCACAGAGGAAAACTTCGGTTCCCTTGATTATCATTGAAATTCTTACATAGTTGACCTCGATGTTCCTTTTTCTTGAAGTTTCCGATAATTTTGTATACACGTGAGCTTTCAAACTTCGAATGGTGGTAACGCTCTTCAAAGCAGTTAAAAATTGAGCGTCATAAAAACCTACGACTCCTGTGCATTCTGAGAAGTGCTGAATTTTATCTGAAAAATCACCGACTCACAAATACATATTTATTTTCGCCAGATTTACTTCTAATCTTAAGAGTTTGAAATTTCGTCCCAATGACTGTTCCTTCGCGCGCGGTGCATCGGTGGCAATACATCGGGGACTCTCTAGAACCATGTTTGTGCACGTGAACAATCGGGACCCTCTTTAAGTTGATACTCCTTCTCTGATGGTGAGGCCCACCAGGCACACATCTAAGATTGAGAGAACACAGTCATTTGGAAGCGTACTACTCACGCATCGTTTGTGACAGGGAGCCGTCCTGACTGTAATGGTTCACTGCTGCAGGCCTATCCTAGAACTGGGTTCTTGCTACCCTTCAACTGTTTCTACTTATCATCGCATATGTAGAAATATGCCGAAAAACGAAGCGAATTAACTTGGCAAATTTTGTTACATTTTCTTACACATTTAGGTTTATTAGCGTTGCACGTTAAAGACACTTCCTGCGTACCTCCACCCATGCGAATGCCCCGCAGACCCTACGAACCGCTCCTCATTTTGACCAGACACAACCCCCTAATTGATTTTTCACAACGTACCCAACGGATGGGTACACGAAAAGAGGCCCGTCGCGCGAAAAGAGGGCAGAGTCAGCGGACGAGTCGCAGCGCGTGCTGTGCGATGTAGGACGTACAATGGCACATTCTATTTAACTTGACGCGAAATCATTACAGTACGCGCTCGACTCGTCCGCTGACTCTGCCTTCTTGCCGCGCGACGGGCCTCCTGTCGGGTACCCCGAATGGATGATTTTCCTCAGGGTGCTGTCACGTTTTATAAATGCCAGTACC